TGAATGGCACTACGGAAACTTTTTAAAAATTCTTTATATGCAAAGAGGACACTTGGCAATTTGGTTAATTTGTATTTATTATAAAGCTTTTTGAAATTTTTTTAAAGAGATTTCAAAAAAATGGGAATCTATTTAACGCTTTTTTCTTAGAGGGTTATATTGTTCTATAAGGTATAAAATGATGCTATTAAGAAAGTTGACTTTTTCATCAATAGAGGGAATTAACAGAAGAAGAAATCCCAGATCCCAGTTTTCTGCGAAGACAGAATTAAAGATTATAATCACAGTAACGGTAATTTCTAGAATATCTTGAGGGAGGTACACAACAGCTTAATTTTAATGATATTGTGATCATTATTACAAAAAGGTTCCAAGATTTTAATGCTACCAACAAGAGAAGTAGGAGTTGATTAACACAGCATCTAAAATGGTGTTATACCTAGTGGCAATTTTAATATGTTGCTCTAGACCTATATAGGTACAGAGGTTTAGAAAGCCCTCTTCAAATCTGATGCTATTTTTCAAGCAACTATTTTCCCAATCTATATTAAGATCATCAACAATCACATAATCGGCACCAAATAATTTTAATCTAAATAATAGGTTGTAAAGATACCTAGTGAATTTATTTCAATAGCCAGGTGGGCGGTATATATTTAAAAGGAAAATATTTCTATTATTAAGATAAATTTTAGTTATTAGAGATTCAAAAGAGGAATAGACAAGGTCATCAAAAGTTAAAAATTTATAATAATCAGATATAAGCACAATAAGTTCACGTCCACGAGTATTAAAACTATTTATTGTTCTATCCTTGCGTGATACTAGAAAACCATCGAAGTTTAATTCCCGATTATCAGTAGAGTCATTCAACTACGTTTCATCAATACAAAAAATACTAGTTGGGTTATCAATTAGTAAAATTTGTAAGTCATAGAGTTTATACTTTAAACTTCTTGCATTAAATATATATAAAGATTAATTATTTTCTATTTTATTAACGTTACTTGGCAAGTTGTCCTAAGCTGTAATAGATTGATGGAAGAAAGTTGGAATCGAAAAATTATTCGTCATTGTAAGCCATTGGCGAAGCTGCTTGAGTTCCATTAATTTGAAGATTTCTGACAATATACTTCTTCAGATTGAGATTCTGATTTCGCATATAACATTCTTTTCACAATTGTTTGTCTAGCAATAGTTCCCTTTTCGTTATATCCTTTCGCAAAAAGCTTCCATGGGGAATAATCGAGCGTATGTTCTTATTACGCAAAACAAACATAGCCATGTACTTATCGTCAAGTCGAATCTTAAGTACTCGTGGCCTGTCTGACCTTTTCCTTCCATGTCGATGAACTTCCTTAATGTAGTCAGTCTGGATCTTAGCGGCAACTACATTATTCCTTGCTAAGAGCCTATCGGCAGTCTCATCATCCGTAGATTTCTCCGGAATATTTATTTTAACTTGGTACGGCTCTTTTTCTTCTTTTTCGAAATATTCATCAATAGTTTGCAATATTTGTAATTGATACCTTTGGCTATTAGGATGCGATATTTACAATCCGACTTATGAAATTAAGCCACTTCTTTTTTTCATTGCCTCCATCTAAGAATTTATATTAATATACCTATATTTGTATAATTTTTATTTTTTCAACTAATGAAATTCCAAAGTTTTCCAGCTATTTTTCAAAAAGCATTGTGCGGCATCAATATATTTGAATCGCACAGATTGGATGCTTGTGTTGGATGCCGATACTGGTGTCGTTAACCCTGATCATTGTATTGAAGAATGGATCGATCCACGATTCGATCTTATTTTCTATGAGCGCTTTTTTAATTGGGAAATAGCTTCGGGCAATTATTTGGTATTTTTTAAGAATTAAATTATGAGTTTGAATTTTTCATTTTTTATTTCGCCTCTTTTGTTACGAAAAAATTAACCTATTCTTTATTATATATCTATTAGTTTAAGGTGAAGAATACTCTCTTTGCCAAAGACTTTTTGCGGAAATGGGCCGATTGGGAATATATTCAGCCATCAAATTGGAATGGAGCTGATAATGGAGTTTTACAGGTATAAACAATTCATTACTCGCGTATTTATCACAATTTCTTATTTATTTTTGTTTCTGAGGGTATTTGCAAATTGTTTGACATTAATCATTCCATATTTTCACAGGCACATAGTTCATTCTTGGTTCCTTTCTTTTTTCCAATAGTACCAACATTTACTTTGGGCTGCCAGACTGGAATATTTAGTACTCATTTTTATGTGGTATTGTCGGATTTGTTCCTGACAAGAAGAAGCATCTCATTTTATTTTATTTGCCTTTTCTAATAGCATCATTGCTGGTTAGAATGGCCGCACTGACTGATATAAGAGTTAAACATTTTTAAGCCTCTGCATCATGTCTGAAAACAACAAGACTAGTTATTTTTGCAGTATCTGCCTTCATAAATAAAATAGCTGACCCGATGTGTTTAAAATTCTTTCATGAATATCCATTATAAACAGTAAAAAACGTGGCTAGGCAGCTTATGTAACGACTCTCTCGATGCTTTTGCATTTATTAATGCATATAATGCAATAGAAGTAATTAAAAGTAAATTCTTGGTATCGTCCACTCATAGTGACCATTCAGTGAGGTAATTCAAACAACCTTTGTTGATTCCACAGAGATTTCGAAAAAAAATATTCTATACCATTTCACTATTTCTATAGCATTTTATAAGAAGTCATCATTATTTTTCTTAGCTCTTAAAGCTGTTTTCTTGATTGTCATATAGACAGCACATGCAGATTCATATAATGCAAACTGTCATGCCAGAAGCTAAGCAAGAAATTGAAAACTGCGACTCATTATGGAGAAATGCAACTGGTTATGATACATATATGGCATACGTATTGTGTGTTAAGCTATACATGGGTTGGTTTTTTCTTATTCCTTCTGTCGGCTAAACGGCTTTAAAAATTCTTAGATTTAAAAAATTTTCGATTTCAAAATTCCATATTTATTTCAACTTAACGGATGAAAAGCTTTCAAAAATCTATATCTCCATAAATTACGGTATAAAAGCAACACTTTAGGTTCAGTTAGAATGTGGCCAAATAAAATTCGAATTCTGAAACGGGCTCATGGATGGGTTCGTGATGGATTTTTAACTGCTGATCACTGGTGCGATAAGGACTTCATGATTCACGGTTGGAAGAAGCAGGAGATTGATACTGAAGGCTGGGAATCACCTTTCAAAGTAGACTGTTCTCTAGAGATTTCTTCTGTTTTTTGTATAAAGGAGTTTAGTTAACTTGCTTTTCTGATTTATGGTATTTTTTCAGAAAATGCCAAATTCTTCACAATGCGGCTATAATTACAAAGGTTGGTACTGGAGGAAGAATTACCATGTTGACGTTAATGAAATCAGGACGATGTTAAAAAAATTTGAACAAAATGCTGGCAAAGCATTTCCTTCAGTTGCTCGAATAATTCCATTTTTAATAGAACCTGATGTTGGTTTATGTTATCCTAACTGTGAAAAAATTTTATAGCTTTAAATTTTATATAATTAAAATTTTCATCTTAAGAAAATTACTTATCTGAAAAAATCCGAATTATTTCAAGACTGTTAGCTCGTTGTTAAATTTGAGTTCACGAATAAACCGGCTGTTCGAATCAATAGTCATACTAATTGTAAAATAATTTATATACAATAATAAAATGTTTGGTTAAGGTTTGACTGGATATTTGTGTATGAAGAAAGTATCCGCGGCATTTTAAGCTGGGATATCTTAGTCTCTTATGTTGACATCCTTTGAAGTGCCATGTAGCCTATTAATTTGTGAAAAGTCTCTCCAAATCGCATCGCTGCTTTCCTTAACACTCTTTAGTAAAGCCGTGCTATATTTTTTTGGCGTAATCTATTTGTGGCGTTGTCTTCTTAGCGGTGCTTTTTTAGCATTATATAACCCATAATGTTACTTTAATACTTCAACAATTAAACAATTCGGTGCATGATCTTTTACCATGATCTTCAAAGGATATCATGGTGGTGGTTGAAGAAATTGGATGCGTATGATGAGATTGTTATGGAGAGGAAATAACAATTCAACGAGTGAGGAAATAGTGCAACAATTCATGGAGGTGTTAAGGGATTGACGAGGTTAGAGGAGTTTTAACCCGATTTAATTTAAGGTTCTTAAGACGGGTCTATCTAAGTGCTTTGTTTATTTCGCAATACAAAATGTTTTTTTCTTTTTTTGTAACATGTAATATATGATAATTCCTATGAAATAAAGATTTATTTCAAAATTAAAAATCCATTTCAAATATTTCGTTTCTTATCACATAGGAAAACTTTATAGGTTTACCTTATCTTGCCTTACTCTTTTATTTGCTTTATTTGCTTACTTTTATGACTATTCAATTGTTCAATTCAGTTATGTTTGAAGAACATAGATCGTTCCACGAGATGTTTTTTATGGATTAGTTCCACTTTGCCTTGAAGAGTACCACAAATACTCATAAAATATTTTATTCAAATTGCTTGCAGGATTTTTCTAAATATAATTATTATATAAAATCCTGCCAATGTAGTTTCCGAGTTATTTATTCAAATTTAACTAACTTATGCGAAATCAAGATATTGACCTAGATATAATCCTATATTATAAATATCTCCAGGTACCAAGTATATAAGTATTTTTAACTGAAATATCTCGTCTTAGTGGTCAACAGCGGCAATCACGAAAATAGTGAAAACAATCCTTGATCTGCATTGCCTATGAAATAATAAAATAATATCCTCCAAAGTAATGTTACACAAGCATCTTCTGAAGCATTAAAAATGTGAATTCCTTTCATCATTTTATTCCCTCATTAAATATATTTTTTGTAAAATGTATTGAAGATATTGAAATATTGAAATTAACCTGATTTCGAAAATGCAAACTTATTACGAATAATGAGCTTTATCTCGCCTTACTCTTACCCCATAGCGCCATATTTATTGACTCGAATATGTAAAGTAAAGCTTGCATGCAAGCTTCTTTTCTCAAAAAATGCCACTTTTGGCTAAAATACTTTCGCTGGATTGTTTGGCCATACAGACCAATTGGCGATAGAGATGCAAGCGATCCGCTGAACGATATTGCCCTAACTTTCCTTATTTTGATTCTAAGATTTTGCTTCAAATTAGTTTTTTAAAGCGAAATTATTTTTAATTGTAGCCAAGAGACTATTATTTCATCTTATTTCCATTTATATTCCTCAAATAGAGGCATTTATTCAATGCGCATAAAATGCCTTTAAATTAGTTTTTTATTGTTAATTCTTCCTCTAATAGGAAAATATTTTCGGTCCGTCTACGTTCTTTAAGAATAAGAAACTTCGCTAGAAGATTACTTGGGGATTGTGGTGTGAGTATCGGCTGTATAGCAGCGAGTTGGATCTCATCTTCAAACAACTTAAGCCTCAACCAAAGGAACTGAATTCATACTGTTTACGATCAGCTGAAGCTTTTATAAAAGTAAAAGCCTTTATTAGCTTTTATAAAAAAGCTAATAAGCTTTCAATTCATTACGCTTATGCTTCAAATGATTAAAAACAAAAGCAATTACTTCTATTATTGATAAGAATATGTGTTATTTGTTTTCGGACTGACATGAATTGAAAAATTCTGCATAAGTAAAAAAATAAAAAAAATAATTATTTGTTAAATTTTAAATAATTGAATTTTTGTTTAAATTAATTGGTCAATTAAATCAATTATTTTTCCTCAATTATTTACAAATTCTTCAAAATTTTATCGGATTTATTTCCAGAAAAAACGACAAGAAGGAGTTTCTGCAATGCAATTATGTGGCGCGACAACAAATTTTATTAATAAAATTTATTAATTTTATTATTAAAAATTTTTCAAACTACAAAAACACGCAATTTTTAAAAGTCTATTCGTCGTTTGCAAAGCTTCAAGTTCCACTCCACTAAGTCATGCAAATAAATCGCATATTATAATTAAAATTTAAGATCTAATGGATCTAATACATTTCAGTTGCATCTAATTTGCATTTAGTATAGTAAAATAATTTCTTTCAAAAAAATTGAATTGCATTAAAGATTTACTTAGCACTTCATTCTGCCACAGAAAAAACAATTTTATCATATCCGGTTGGGCTCTTAAACTAGTCAGGCCAGATAAATTTCGCTAGTGAGCCACCTGTCATATATGTACAGATGCTTGGCCAGCACCATCTTTTCGAAATATTATGCCTGCAAAGAACAGAACCTCAATATTTCGTTTTACACTCTGCATATATTCATTACACCCATTAAATTCTACCTGGTAAAATTCACCTGGTCCGATGAGACGTAATCATATCTATATTTCACCAAATGGATAAAAAAATTACTATCGACTATTGACTTTGACAGAGATATAATATTGGGTTTAATTACCTTAGTTTGAGAATGTTGCTCTTATCGTACCGGGATTTTGTAAGAATAAGATGAAAGAAATTTCAAATGGCACCGAAAAAATAACAATTAAATAAAACTATCGAGGATCTGAGATCCTCTATAACAAAGAAATAAAAGCAGCAAAATACAATTTTGCACTTAACCAGATCTGTTGAAATACTTAAACTTACACAGGTGAGAATGATATTAATGATATGATACTTGATATGATAATTTGAAAGCTTCGTCTTTGGATGGCAACTTTGAGCCTCCAAAAATCTCAACTGAACAAATATTGGAAACTATCGACAAATATTTCGAAAAAAAGGAAAAAGAACCATATCTAGTTGGTATAAACATTCCGGAGAGACCTACGGATGATGAGTCTGTTACTACAGTTAGGCTCTTAGCAGAGAATATTGCATCTGCCAGTGGGATTAAGACTGATTACATTAAGGAAGTTCGTCGACATGGAAGGAAAGGGTCAGGCAGGCCACGAGTACTTAAAATTCGACTCGAAGATGAATATATGGCTATGTCTGTTTTGCGTAATAAGAACATGCGCTCGATGTTTCCCATGGAAACTTTTTGCTGAAAGTCTTAACGAAAAGAGAACTACTGCTATACAAATAGATGCGAAAATAATGTTATTGTCGCAAAATGCGATGCCTTTTCCTAAATCATTATCTCAAACCGGTGACCCCGACCGGCTAAAAAAAACTTTCTTAATCGATTCTTTGGTTATTGCACTTTACATATCAATAAAATATAAAGGACAATTTATAGTACATTTTGTATGAAAATCTTTCTACTTTAAGACAGCATATCTTGCTTCTGCCCCTGTTAGGCGCCATGTCGTTCTTATGCCATTTCAGGGACCCAAGCGGTTGGGTGCCAATATTAATATTTTAATACTAATATTAATATTTAAAACATTCATTAGTTAATTTGTCCTTTACCTCTTTATTCTTTTCCTTTGTTTTGCCTTTTAATCTATTTGGTTTAATCGAAGCTTGTTTTTTCTAACTATATATTAATTGGTTTAAAGGTTTAATTACCCAAGTTTGAGGTGGAGAATAAAGATTTTTATTAATTCGTGCGGTGATCAGTTTATATTCTACTGTCTTGAGAAAACAGCCGATTATCTATTATAATTAACGCGTGGCAGGGGAGCATCATCCCACTGCTTCCAGTTTATAATTTTATTAATCTATTTTTTACATTTATATCCGAAACCAGACTCTCAATCTAAAGAAGTATGTCATCAAAAATCTTCAGACAGTGGAATCTTCAGGCAGCCTTGCCAATGGTTTACAACGACAAATAATTTTTCGATTCCGATTTTTTTACATCAGTCTACAGCAGCCTGGGACAAGTAAGATTAATAAGAAGTAATTTATCTTTGTATATATTTATGAAATTTTAAGGCATCCATTTTAAGCCGTCCATTTCAGCTGGTCCTGACAATACTCTACAAATAATTTATAAAAAATATGCAGTTTCATTAAATCTTCCCATATTTTTAATTTATAAGGACATTATGAAATCTAGCCTTAATCCCAAAATTGTTTCATATAATTCCAATATTAATTCCAATATTAATCGCGTTTAGCACCAGATTTTACTTTTTATGCCGAATTTAATTCCTTAAAGGTGCAGGAATCGAACCTATGATGATTTGAGCGTAGTTATAAAAGTAAAAAGGAAGCACCTATGATCCTTCTAATTATAGATCTAATTAGCCTAACACACGTTGCAGCAAGGTACTCAAAAGGCTTGCAACAAATTGCTTACTTAATGCCAATGCCAATAATTTCATATCCTCCTGTGAGCATGGCATGGCAAAAAATCTATTGGCAAATTATTGGCAAATCTTTACGATTCGTCAGCATCAATTGACAATGGAAAAACAGAATCAGTTGTGTATCTAGATTTGGCCAAAGCTTTGATATGTTTGCCATAATAAGTTGTTGGTCACTCTTAATAATTATGACATTAGGAAACTTGTACAACTGGGCGTCAGATTACATAAAAAGATCGTCACCAAGCTTTATGTGTCAATAATATTCTTTCTGACATAACAACTGCTAAATCTGGCGTTCCCCAAGGTAGTTGTATTATGCCATTGCTTTTTCTGTTATATATAAATGATATTAATAATGTGGTACTAAATTCTACCATTTATCTTTATGGCTGTAAAATGATTGTAAATTTGATGATTGATCATTGTAAAATTTATTATTCTCATGGTAGAACATATGATAATGCCGACTACAACATGCAAAGTAATGAATGGAAGTGATGGAAGTAGTGACTCCCCAGGATTTAAATCGAAAGTCATTTATCCATCTACCAATCTACCTTATCAAATCATCAAATTATCCTTATTCATCTCGTACCATTTTACCAACCATATGAAAATTTGGTGTTTCATCGTGTTTATCAAATCACCATTTTCACCTGCTAATAAATTGTTTTCGAAAAATTATAAATGGAAATTATGTTTTAAAAAAAATCAGCTTGCATTTTTCACTTTAGTATTTTCCCTTCAAAATATTGAAAGACAATAAATTTACGTAAGAATTAATCGGCAATTCTCATAGATATTTTGTTTCATTATTTCAAGCGTTATCGAATAGCACAAGATTCTATAAAGTTATTTGAAGTGCAGTCGATTACGATATTTATATGCCATATGTATTGTATGTGAACATACATAGAGGTTGGTTTTTTCGACTTTTTTGATACTGATAAGTGACGCTAATCAGATGATAAGCTTGATGATTGTGATTCTTCTTTCTATAATGGTATAAAGTTCGCAGTTTTTACTTTTCGAAATCCCAAGAAGAATTTTTATTTACTAAATTGCATGTCACCTAACAAAAAAAATACTAAAAATTATTCTTATTAGCATTTTTGTTAGCATTCATATGTTTTTATAAATTTTTACCATTTTTCTTGACAACCATTGCTGCTTAATCCCGCTGCGCTGACTAGGCTCACTGCTTTGGTTAGGCTCGCTGAGCTGCTTTGTCAAAGGAGACAAACCTTACCAGAGAGTCGCTTGGTAACAGAGGTGCGCGTGAGTCGCTAGCACTGCCCTTTCACCTATCGTTGTATTATTCTTTACCTATTTATATCTATTTATTCGAGGAAATTTCGTTCACGATTTGCTTTACAACTGATTTTTGCATTTTTGAATAGTGCACTTTGGTTTGTGAATTAAATTTTTGCTTTCTTATTTTAGCATTCATTTTTGGTGTGAATCTTTAAACAATTTGGCTTTGGCTTTAAAAAAAAGGAAAAAAGGCTTTAGAATGGGGTTTTATTGACTTAATCTCCACCGAAGAAGGAATCACAGCCTTGTAAATCGTAATGAATTAACGGCATTCGCAAATGAATTAATCGCAAATGAGAGGGTAGTCCAATCCATTCAGTTGGTTGGTGGAGTGGGAACAGTACTGAATGCCCCGAACTAGTCACATCAGCTGAGAAGATTTCTAGCAAAACCTTTAACGAATATACTAACTGAGTAATTTTTAAGCAAATCAGTAAATATTTTCTCAAATCACAGACCATGTGCCCAATAAATCCAACAACATTCAAATGTCCATTTTTCTCGAATCAAATAAAAATTTTATTGTCGAAAACTTTTGACTGTTCTGACTTACTATATGTACAATCCCTTATTGAAATCCTCATAAAAATTTGCGTTTTATTTTTCTGGTGCTAACAAAACCGAATAGTGAAATTGCCTTTTCGATACACCACTAAAAAATTATTTCCCACTCCGATGCAGAAAATTTGCCAAGAAAAGCCGCAATTCTGTGATCGCTTGACCATGGCCGTGTTTTTCGGCCTTGATAAATTTTTACAATTCAAGTTTTATATTTGCATCTCAAGTTTTGGGACCAAGTTGGTTGGTTTATGTGCGTCAGTAGGGATTAAATTTTATTTTGATCTTTTAATATTTGAGGATTTAATGAATTTAATTTTGTCAACTGTGCTTGTGCTTGTAAAAACAATCGTAAATTCTTGCCGACTTATTTTTAAATAATTTGTTTTCTTCTAAGAGAGCCATTTTGCGCCCCTCTGGCTCGTCGGCGAACTTCGCTAGGAAGTCACTGGGCGATAGAAGCAGCCGAAATTCAAGCCTGTTAATCGCTGGGCCATTCAAAATTTTCCTGTCTGTCCAAGGCGCTCCTCGATTTTTATGCGCCAGCTTTCGGCTCGTCAATGAGGGGCCGAGAATATGGTTCAACCAGCATTGGCCAAACTCTTTCGACATAATGCAGATAGTATTCGAGCAGCTGGGTGTAGTCTGTGAGATTCTGTTCATATCTTTCATTCCCAAATAACAACGCCTTATATGTCCTTCTCGCAGCAACAACTTGCACCATTTCTAATTTGGCTTATTCCATTGACTGCGAGGATGAGGATGACATTTCCAAGCCTCACGATTGAATGCCATATCTGATCTGTGCTTTTATATCAAACTTTGAAATTTCCATTGTATTTCTAGTTCAATAATTTAATTCGAATTTCTTATAGGTCGTGTCGATGATTTTTTATTCATTTCATCGATTTGTTGGTACCACAGTCATATTTAATCGATTTTTTGCCATTCACCAAAAATATATTCTAGAGCAGTCGTATAATTATATTCCAAAATTTATTTCCTTCAAGGTTATGCTTGATTTCTTTTTTTTTGTTTTATTTGTTAGTCATTTCTTTTTAGACCAGTCATCCTGGAACTATACGGCAGAATGATCAAATCTATAGAAAGCAAGTGCAAACACCGATTGATGTATCAGGAAAATTATTATTAATATGCTAAAAGGTTGAGAAGAAAAAGACCAATTTATTCAGCTTTATTTCGCTTCATTAATGGTCAGCTGCCTGCGCTGGCTATGGGTATGAGGAGTTTCCAAGGAGAAAATAATATATCTGGAAATAATAAAATAAAATTATAGGCGTTCCCTTCGTCTAAGTGCATGTGTTGCTAGACTGCCTATGTTTTAGTTTTGGCATTCTATCTAGCGTTTAACAAGTAATGAGTGTGTCCACATAATGATCTAACCAGAATAAGCGGCACATTACGTTTTGTTCATGATTTATCAAATTTTCAAAATTTGAACATCATTCAAGTGAACTTATGTCTTTAGCTTATTTTCATTCTATTTCATATGAAACAGCTTTAGAACAATAAAAAAACGACAAATAAACTTATTTTTTCTAATGTAGGTTTTTTAAATGTATAGATATATTTCAGCGATCACATTCATCTGGTTCGGCGAATAAACGAAATAATCTTGAAGGGCATATTGCTTTGGTGACTGGTGCATCAAGAGGAGTTGGTAGAGGCATTGCTTTACAACTTGGTGAGGCTGGTGCGACAGTCTATATTACTGCAAGAGAACCTTCGAAATCTTTATCATTTACTGAACAGAATCTTCCATCACTTGAAAGCACTGTTCAAGGTTTTTTCTTGGTATTTTTTCAAATTTTAGTAAAATTTAGTTTTTTATCCTTCTAAGGCAATCATTTTCATTATCATTTTCCTGTTATGTATAAGATCATTTCAATTTGTAAAGTTTTGTCCTCTTTACTTCGTCAGACAGGGATAAATCTGTTATTATAAACGGATTTTGATATGGTTCTCTTGGGATCTTTATTTTCAGGTTATTCTTTGTCATATACATGTTTCAGAATACTCTGAGGCCTACTTCTCCCACTTCTTTAACCAACTAACTCTCTAGCAAAAGTTCTCGTTCATTTCATACTAATAATAGAGCATAGATGGAAAACTATTTTAATTATTTATTCTAATAACTTCTGGAGCTATTTAAACAAGAATTTTTTATTTTTGTTCCATATAAATACCTTATCATGCTTTTTGGTTGAAATTTTCCATTATTTAGTGCATTTTATCCTTATCTTTATCAGTAGTTTATTCATTCTGATCTTTTGAGATTAGCATTCTTAAAAATCTGGAAAATTACTTAATTCATAGTCTTAGTTCTATCAGTCTCATAACATTCGATGAAGTTTCTTTGAGATTGCATTCAAGACATTCAATTTTAAAATATTATAAGCCTGTCATTTCATGGTCAGTAAACAATTCAAAGCTGAAACGTCATTTTTAGTAGTAAAGGAATAGTCTCATAGTAATTTCTCTATTTATAATTTAATACGTATCACATTTTTACGTTTATTTGCATGCTCAGAAATAAACAAGCGAGGAGGAAAGGCTGTAAAAATATATTGTGACCACTCAGATGGTAATGCAGTCAAAAATCTGTTTGAAAAAGTAGCTTTGGAAACTGGAGGAAAGCTCAACATATTAGTCAATGCTGCTTTCTCTGGGTTGCCGGTAACCACTTATAATATAATATAATATTTTTTATCTTATAAGAATTCAATTACGAAAGACCTGGCACTCACTTGTATCTAAAAAATGGCTTGTTGTGAAAGTGGTTAAATTGTTGAGACATAAGATTATTATTTGTCTGTTGGTTAGACTGCTATATATAATTTATTTGTGGTTATCATTTGTAAACGACAAAACAGGAAATAAATTGTTAATTTATTAATTTATCTTTTTTAGAGTATCGAAGCATCAGCAGGAAAGAAATTTTTCGAATGTGACCCTAATTTATGGGATGATATTAATAATGTCGGTCTTCGTAATCTTTATTTCTGTTCAGTATATGCATCAAGAATGATGAATTCTCAAAAAAAAGGATTAATTGTTAATATCAGTTCTGCTGGTGGCATACAATACTTTTTTAATGTACCTTATGGTGTTGGTAAAGCAGCGGTTAGTTCATTATTATATTTGTTTTGTGATCGGTAATGAACTAATGCCCTAAATTTTTTCTAAGATTGATCGCATGTCTGCTGATATGGCGCGAGAATTACGTCCTTCTGGTGTAGCTGTTGTTTCATTATGGCCGGGTACTGTTAAGACTGAATTATCAGTGAAACTTATAAATAATGGCAAATTAAGTGCTATCACAGGTATATCACAGGTATTTCTTTTCTTTTTTCTATCTTATGGAAACAAATTATCAATGGCACTAGTAAATAACGGGAAATTAGGTGCCATCATAGATTTGCTTCGAATACTTTTTTTACCTTCTAATTCTGATTTGAGAAGCAGTTAAAAATAAAGTTTTTTGTAATTGCTTATTTTTTGTTAGCAAATTTCAGCAAATGTTGGATAATTCTTTAATAAAAGGTGAAAGTCCCGAATTTGCTGGTCGCGCAGTTGTCGCTTTAGCATCTGATCCTGTAATTCTTAAAAAATCGGGTCGTATTTTATTAACTGCAGATTTGGCTTCCGAATACGGTTTTGTCGACATTGATGGTTAGAATAATCGGATTTATTTTGCATATATCTAAAAATTTTGGGTAATTTTCTTTCAGGGAAAAGTCCAGTTAATATGCGAAATTTGAATACAGCTTTGGAATATTTTGGTTGGCCAGTTATAGCGCGATTGGTTCCCAATTTCGTTAAGTTACCACCTATTGCTCTTCATATTTCTTCCTACAAATTTTGAATTTACAGATTTCTTAGTAAACTCTTGGTAGTCATAGGTTCTTTATTAGTAAAGAAATTTTAAAGATTAAAAAGCTTGAATGAAATGAAACCTAAAACGGTTAAACAAAACGTACTTGAAAATGTAAGATTGAAATACAAATAATAAACATAATTTAAATAAAATATAATTAGTCAAAAAATAAGGGAAAACACTCCGATTTTCTCATTTTTTGCTCAAACTCACTAGAAGACTTTAGAATTTTAAAGCTTTTGGTTTTATCCATCGCAAAATACTGTAAAATGTTATTTAAGTTACTTTTTTTACTGTTATTTCTTTAGCCATTGTTATCATTTGTAATATTTGAAAATACTATAGTTATAACTAAATTTGAAGGAAAGAGGCTAAAATTGGCTGATCGTATTAGATGTTTCTATCAGATATTAGATCATATTTGCCTTCCTTTTACTTTTGGATTTTTCTTGCGTCATAAGAAAGGACAATTGTTTTTTGTAATGTCATTCGGTGAAGTTCAATGGAATAAATGTTTTTGACATATTCTATATATATTAAATTATAAAACATTAAAGTTTTGAAAATGTTCGCGATTTTGATGTTTCTTGCATAGCGAGGTCGTGGATAATAATATGAGTAGTAAAAAGTTTAGGAAAATCAAAATTTGTCGATTGTCAGTTAAAAAATTTAAAAATAGGATGGGATAAGGAGGAAGAGGAAAAATAAATTAGATCGCTTTGAAAAGCATATTTCTGAATAGATCGAAGATTTCTTGAAAAATTTTCTCACATTTGGTTTTAATGACGTTAATGCACAAGATTTAATATTTAATTATTCACAGAAAGATTAAAGTGTATCAAATAATTTGAGGAATCAAGAATTCAACTTGGCTGTCATTGTCACCAATATTTGCATATAGGTTGTCATTCAGTCGGCCAGTTGACGATTGTAACATTTCGGAAACTAAGCGTTTCTGTTTCAAAAAATCGAAAACAGCTCTTTCATGCAACAAAAAAGTCGAGGCGTCATTCCCTAATCGTAATGACATAAATACTGTTGCGCTGATAAAAAAAAGATGAATACGGCCGCATAGTTCTGGAGCATTCGATCGCAATGATCGATCAAATCGAACGATTCCTGAAATTGCGAGTTTTTTATCTAAGTTCGTTCTTACGGTTACAGATTTACAGCACTGAAACAAATTTACTTCTGGCGGAAGTAAAATTCCAGCACTGTCGCTTCGAAGTGGGAACAACAACCCACTGAGATATTCTGCCAAAAAATATAAACTTTATGCTGTATGTATATTGCCGTTTAACTAATAAAATTGTCAAATTGTTATCTTTCCACTATGCAATTCTCAAAAACGATCATAATTATGCTTAGATAGTAATTTCCGCGGCTGTGCTGCTCAAAAGTCCCGTTTTGCTTCTTCGGAAGCATCTAAAACCGCATTGTTCCAAAAATAACCCATTAATCCGTTCATAAATTCTTTTAAAAATAAAGGGTTTTGTTTTTTGGAAAGAATGGAATTGGATAATTTCGATCATTTAAAAAGATCCATCCCTTAAAGATTATAAAAATTGTGAAGTCTTGAGTTAAATTTCTTAATTTGTTAACTCTTGCGACACTGTTACTATTAGCGTCTTTGCCAGATAATGTTGGCGACTCACCTGCATTTCTATCGCCAAATGACTCTCTGGCAAAATTTGACCGATCCCACAAATCACTGGAACGATTCTGGTTAGAAATGATGGCCTTTTAGCGAAAAAATTCACCTTTGTCGACGAATCTTTGCTTTAAGAAATCACAAATTGGTATTTCTTCATTTCTCGATCGTTTCATAAGTTTTTCATCGCATTTCGAAAGTAGAAAAACGATTGTTGCATTCCTTAAATCTTTAGCTTTTTGCCAAAGAATTACTGGATGTTACAGTTTTCAAATTTTTAATTTATTTTAAAGGCCTTCACTTCTCCGTCCTTTTTTTCATAAATTGGATTTAAAATCCTCCATTAGCTTGAATCGGTGCCCTGTTCGATTTGATTGGTTTTGAAAAATTATCGAGTTAGAAATTTAAAAGTATTAGGGGCCAACCTTCTAAAAGCGATTTTTGCGAACGTTAGATCCTGATCTGAAGGAACTCGGCTAATCAGTATGAAAACCGCCGTGAACGTAGCAATTTTATAACGGCTAAAATTTATGATTCTTTGTTTATCCTTTTATTTTTCCGATTAAAGTTGTTGAAACAGTGCTTCAGCTTGAATAATTTTATGCGACTTTGTTGCTAATCCTCATTTTTTTAGTTTTTTTAATTTATATTTTTGGCAAAAACGACTTTTTTTGCAGTTATTTGAGCCATCTTACCGTTTCTAATTTCTAGGCTTCACTATATAAGCTAAGGCTTTTAAGGATTTCAAGAATCAGGAGAATATGTAGCTGATAATCTGGTTTCATTTTTGATGATAGGTTTGCTGCCAAGGAACAAAGCAGAAAGCTCGTGTTGCCTACAAATCCCTCAGCAGAAGCAATATTTTCAGCTGTTATTATATGAATTGAAAGGAGATGTGTAATACGATTACTATACAAGTACATACAACCATTATTACCCAAAAATGCAAAAGTAGATAAGTACTCGATGAAGTCGAAGAAAGCATTTATTTTTTTCGGGTAATGTAATTCCCATAATGTAACATTATATGCAAGTACGTCGTCATCGAAATCGAATCGTTCACATTCACCGAATTTGTTTCGGCGTCGACCGGCAGCAAGAGGATGTTCCATTGACATTCCACGCAGTGCATTGATAAGCGAGGATTTACCTGCTCTACTTTCACCAGCAAACGCATAATTAAATGTTGTCTAAAAATGCATACGTATTTTCGGGCTTAGCCTAGGAAGTGCTACTAGATATGTGGTCTATCTAATGACTTGAACTTGCCGTTAATTTCAAAATTCGAAAATAGATTGCTTAAGCTCATAATAAATGATAAGTAATTGTAATAAATGATAAATATTTGAAACGAATCTTGAAATATACTTATTAACCTTTCCTGCTCGTCTTATACCATATTTAATGCTATAGTCATAAATTCTATCATCAATACGATAAGAAATTTGAAAACCAGCATCAGCCAGTACTGTAGTTCGATTACAGCCATATGTGCACAATTCAAATGATCTATTCAGTGGGTTTCTCTATAATATCCTGATAACTGCATGGAGAAGTGAGCGATAAAATTTGCCGATAGGCTGTTTTGAAATTATCAAATTCTATCTATATCCAAGCAATGCTCAAGGTTTTCAGAATAATTTTTATCTCTGGCAATTTGATTTGGACATCTAAATATAAGAATAAAAATTTATTTAGTAGTGCAACTGCAACTTGCGCATTCTATGCTTGAATAGAATTTGATTTTAATACAATAAAATTAAAAATAACGATAATTAAAATAAATATTGTTTCAGGCTGAATTTTTGTTTAGGCTTGCAATAAAAAGTGCTGAGAATCAACGAATAATCCTCACCATAAATAAAAATATTAAAAAGAATTAACCGATTTAGGTTGGAAATTGTCGTGCGTCGATATGACTGATCGTAAACTATAATCATCGTTCTGAAATTACCTTTTTATTTTATTTCTCATTAAGTTTATTATATAATTATTTTCCAACGATGGTATATATAGCGATTTTCTCGATACATTGCGATTCAGATTTTTAAATACATTTTTCTTTGGCTAAGAAATTCCATCCATACAGTGCCTGACTAGCACATTTCTCAGCTCAGAGTAAGCATAGCTCTCTTTGAGTAGAATATACTAGTTATTGGAAGTGAAATCTAGTCTATTATGCGTTAACATACTTCCTGGCCAAACCACATAATATCAGTGAGTCTGTCAAGCCAAAAATGGCTCGCACTTAATAGCATGTTTGCAGGTTGATTCATTATATTAACTGCAATATTTCGAAAGATACTAAGTTATAAATATAGATAAATATTACATATATATATATATATATATATATATATAGTATTATGGATAAATATACTATTTAATTGTTATAAATTATATTTAATTATTATAAATTACCTGTTTCTGTTTTTGAAGCAAATTTTCCAAGCCATAATGACAACCAGGTTTTAGGCCAATAATGTCCAGGAGACGAATTTCATCGATCTTATAATGTAAATAATCAGTATTGCCGTTAACAATACATTTTATAGTAGGAGCATTTATATATAGCATTTCAACATCCTCAAGTGATTGACACTCTTGCTGAATTTGTTTGGCGAATATTTCTCTTCCTGAAATTTCCTTTTTACAAGGGTTGAAGCTGAGTTCTAGGTGGTTACTAGGGCATGAAATACTGCATAAAAACTTTAATAATCTATTCAGACCTTTTTCAAGGAATCGTTCTTTAAGCTTATCGCAAATTTCTAAATGACATTCTCTCGATTCAGCATCAAGAACATTGTCAGTTTTAGTACTTAGAAATACAAGAGATGTTCGACGACTGTTGAGGATTTTGGCGAATATAATATCATCATCATGCAATTTGCCATCATCGATAAGAACAAAAATTATTTCAAATAAATATAACTTGTTACTTCTGAAAATCGTCGACAAGAATGTTTCAGATCAAACAAAATCTTTCATGATAAACAATGGTCAAAGATAGTTAGTTCGTGTATTCACGCGTTAACTGGAAAAAATAAATTGAATTATCAAATGACCATAATGCTGGAAACTTACCTATATTTCTATTGATAAGTGATTTTCTGGCAAAATTTGCCTGGTCAAGCCAATGGAACGAGCCTAACCACAAATGTTGGGTGCTTTTAAAACACTCAAGTAAAATATTGAAATTGCAATATTCGTTTTTAATAGCATTTTTGGCCTACCGAGTTTCATTAATTCATGTGGCATTTATATGCTGTTTTTCTTGGAGATTTGTTTGGTCCCAACAGTCATCCACTTTTAATAGTAGGTTCACTAGTAAGATAAAAAATAGAATGCGTGCTGCATGCCATCAGTTGCAGTAAGATTATAAGCACTTAGTGTACAAGCAATTATCTGAAAAAGACTAATTTTCTCGAAAACAGTTTCGCATGGTCATGATATCTGGCATATTACAAAACACAATCTATTTGGCCAAACGACAAAACAGTTTACTCTAAAATTCTCTACACCGAACAATGCACTATCAAGCACAGCAAGAACATGATTGGTGCAGAAGAAGGTTCGATTAATTTGCCATCATTCTTACATATACACATTCTTTGCACAAAAAAAAAGGATTTTCAAGTGGGTTTTTACATAGATTCAAACATTCACAACTATTCATGTATAGTTCCGTCCATAATGGTGCAAAAAGTGGCTCTAAATATTTTCAAAACTCTATCTATTTACTCCATCATTGCTAAAAATTAAAAACTATTTTATTTTAAAATTATTTTATTTATTTTGTCACGATATTTCTTTTTATAAGCATCCACAGTTTGTGGCTAAATTTATTCCACGGCTTGTCGAATCAGATAAATTTTGTCAGGGAATCAATCACTTAACGAAAAAGTGGCCTAATATTTAAAAGGTAGGTTTTACTATAATATTACTATAATGGTATTACCTTATAATAATAATTAATACTTTCGGTAAAATTAAGCTAATGGATTTTAGCTCTATTAATTACTTCGACCCATAACCTAAAAAGCCTTTACAATTACAAATAAATTTCAAATTGTAATATTATTGTATAATAATGTTATTATTAAGATTAAGATTATTAAGATTATTATAATATTAACTAAAATATAAGGAAACTAACTCGTAAAGTTTGTCGTGTTCAATATTTCTCTCATACACATCAACACTGCCAGAAAATTTTCGTGGATAAGGTATTTCCCACAGAACCAACCAATTAAATTCTTCTTCAATGAAAACGAATGGTTCCATCCGCTCACATGGATAACGTCCAGCTGTATATTGGTCTCCATATGAAATTCCTCGCATAGCATTAATTAAAGCTGATTTACCTGTCCTATTTCGTCCAGCAATTCCAATATTTATTTTAGTCTAAGTAAGAACCATCAGTTTAGTTGGATAATGAAGCATGGTGAAGTGCTGTCATTGATTTTTAAGTTTTAGGTTTTAGACTCAAATATTATTTTCAAAAAAACGACCCTACTGCCTAAATGAAATTGAAACAAAAAGCAAATGCATGCTTGAACGCATGAAGAATAACTCTTAACGAATGCCTAAAATTTTTACTTTTATAGATACCAAATTGTCTAGTTTTATATGCACTTAAGGTTGTTAAGTGGTTAGCTTGGTTTCTGATTTCCAATATCATATGCCATCCAACATTTTTGCATTTTCATTTTCATTAAGTATTTTTTTAAAAAATCTTGTCCAATTTGAAACTATTTATTTGGGCAAAAAGTTACTACAAATAAAGTATAATAAGTACAATATTAATAAGCAATTTCTAGCAGTCAAAATTTTTCAAAGTAACGTAAAACTGATTATTTATATGAATAAACTGACCGTATCGACTCGATAACATAAATTTTGAAATGACTTTCCACTATGAAAATTTAGTTCATTTACTGGATCATATATCGGATAATTATCAACCGTTTTCTAAATTATTAAACTATAACTAATCAAACAATTTTGTTTTGAGGCCATCGTTAATCATTCCAACTGGACTCATTCTATTAACTTGTTGGGCCAGCCAAGTTTTTTCCAGGGAATTCATATTTTATTTTGTATTATTATCAAATATAAGATGAAATATTTCAAAAACATTGGCTTACATTATCTGTGATATTGCTATCCACACATTTTATTGTCTTATTTTTTGAATCATTACTGAAATTAATTCAATCGAAAATTGATTGCATTAGGTATTGAAGGCTTGTATCAAATCATTGAATCAAATATGAACTATATACATTAATTGGAAAGTCCCAATATCAACTATTAAGCTTGGAACTTGCTTTATCTGACTTGGCTAAACCAACTCTCAAGTTCTTTATGAATTATTAATAAACTCATAAATAATGACCAAAATATAAATTTCCGCAATCAATCAATCCACAGAAATAAATGAAATGAAATGGTATTATAATAGAATATTGTATTTTTTTGTATTTTTCAGACTCTTCATTTCCCTTACAAGTCTCATAATGGATAGCTGATGGGCTAAAAGTGAAGGGGTCCAATCGAAATCAACCAAGCAGCTAATAGAAAGAAAGGCAACATGAACTTTATCGATGACTTTGTTATTATTGTAGTTTGACAGATTCTTTAGAGAATTTCATTCGAGTATAATTACAGGTAATGCCCAAACTGCCTGATTCTTATAACAGGATTTTCTTTTATCAAGAATCGAAATGGAAATTATCCCGAAACTCCCTAAAGCACATATGTCAGAGAAATTTTAGGATTAAATCATTTTTAATCATATGACATAATTTATTCCTGTCAGTGGATAAAAAATCTATGATGCTTGGCATGCTTGGTGCAGTTCGAAGCAGCCATATCACTCAACCATCTCTGCACATTCGGTAATTCATAACAATGGCAATATTATTTAATGAATTAATAAATGATAACTTTGTTGCATCTTTTTTGGCATTTTTTTTAAGGTTTGTATTGCCCATGCAGATATTGAATATCCTTCTTGAAAGATAAATTTTCTGAATCTATCTGAAGAAAAAAAAGCTAAATTAAAGAAAATTAAAAGCAAAAGTACGTGAGAAGAGCAAAATTTGACTGAAAAAATAAAAACTTCGAAAAAATAATGCCATTTTTCTCGCACAGTGGTTCACAGTTTACTTTCTTGAATCCACTGGATCCACTGAATTCAATAAAAAATTAACAAATGTAAAAATTCATAAAAACAATAAAAAAGTACTAAATTAAAGTTTTAAGAGGGAAAAACAATATCGACTTTTTATTGGTAATGATTATCATTAAAATAATTGTTTGTACTGTAATAAGTTGGTGATTTTTACGAATCGATTTCCGATGTAATTAAATTCGTGGATTATTATTTATAATACGTCGACAATGAATTTAGTTTCGAATGAAATATCATTTCATTATTTTTCATCGAAAGAGATTAGTTAAAATACAAATTATTTTTATAATATTTACAATATTTTTATCAAAAATATTTGATAATCAACTGATAAAACTATTCAAATAATGAAAATTAATTATGTTTTCATAATAAACGAAGAAAAAGCCAAACAACGCCAAATGATTTTCTTTAAAATTAATAGATTAAAATTAATAGTTGTAAATAAAAAGTAACTAAACCATGTAAAAATAAATATAGATTTAATAATTTGACTTAATTAATTTTTATCTTGCAAAATGTGTAATCACTTCTCCCTCTTTGTGGGTGTTAGCGAGTAGTGCTAGTGAGGAGAGGGCATTGCTTTTAAGAAAACTAAGCCACTTGACTACACTATAGGTATATATATAAAGTCATGCAAAATTCAAAAAAATATCACTCGTTTACAAGTTTACTATTTCTTAGTTGAGATAAAATGTCGTTGGAAAAAATTTTCTTAGGAAAGGCGAAACAAGCGTTTGGAAAACTATGATTCAAATATTTTATGAGAATATTATTTATAATACATCGACAATGAGGTTAGTTTCGAATGAAAGAAAACGAGCCATTTTCATTACGACTTACTTCGGCCGAGACGAGCAGTATTAAAGGTTCACTTCATGTCGTGACATGAGTAAATTTGAAAAAATTCTAGGTTATTTGATACTTATTTGTATACCTTTGTTTTCAAGTAATTCTCTTCTGTCGTACCAGTTTCTCACTGTTGCAATTACTTTTCGACAGCGCCTTTATGGTAATTTTTTTTCCAATGCGATAAATTATTGAATTCTTTATTAATAGTCTCATAAATAAAATAAATTTAAAATATTAATTTATGCAAATGTTTGTATCAAAAGTAGCGAATCTATAATCATTACTAGCTTTTTAAATAATTAAAATGCCTTACGGGATTTGCACTTGAAATACCCTTAGGAATTTGTTGACTGCCATGTACCTTACTTTTTGTCTGCTAAATAACGACTAAGGCAAATTGGATTAAGGCAATGATTTGACTTAGTGGGTTGCTCTCATTTGCGGCGCTGGAATTCCGAATTCAAATCTGTCTTTAAAAATTTCGGTTACTTCTGTCACACTGACAATATTTATCCGGCAAGCTAGTAGAGCAGTTCCTAATCAGAAATGATCACTTTATTTCAACAATATAAAAATAAAGTAAGATAAATTAAAATTACAAGGCTATGCAATTTTGCGCCATTTCCTCATTTGTTTTTTCGAGACAATGATGTCTTAGTCATTATCAGTGGATCGTTATATCGCAGAGAATGAATAAAATAGATGATAAAATAAATTTTCGCTGGCGATGAGTTGTTTTATTTTAGAGCCATTTAGTAAAATTTCTAATCACAATTTTTTTTAAATAATATTTTATTATTTTCCAGAGAGTGATTGAATAAGCAAAGCCAAAATTGAGTTAAATTGAAGCTGAAATGGCAAATAGAGTTTGCCATTATAGCAAAGAACTGGCATAGGCACATATTGTTGCAACAAGTCTTAACTACGCCGAACTTATATCGTTGTTTAATTCCTCTGGCCAGATAATAATTCAGCTATTGCAAACAGCTGCCAAAGAGTGGTTTTCAATGCATTCGATACACCGCCAAATTTTGAATAAGCAAATTTGCTGCTTGCTCATTTCTACTTCCTTTCTGCATGCCACGAATAGTTTTTGAATTACTTTAAAAATCTTAATTTAATTTCTATTTTTAATTGCTATTCAATTAAATAAAAATATTATATCATATCTAAGGAATAAAATAAAAAATAATAAACTTTAGTTTTAACATTTTAAACAAATACAATTTGTTAGAATTGAATCTGTTTACGAATTAAAAAAATTCTAAAAAATAGAAAATTTTAAGAATTTTTTCCTGATTTTAACTGCTTTTGCAACAATAATTAGTCGAAGAGCAACGAAAGAGCAGCAAGATCTTCATATCATTAATCGCCAATCATTACTTGTTACAGCTTGTGACTCAATGTGATTGCAGAAATTCGTCAACAACGACTATCACAGATGAAGCAAGCGAATTAAAATTTATCTTTTGGTTCTCCTGTACTCGATTACTCATTTTCTTAGTCAAAATTAAAAGTTCAGAAGCTTTATCTACTAATTGAGACGCCTGGTGCAGCGTGAAGGTTGTGGTATTAGGTTATTGATAATGTTATCCTTATTATATAATGCCTAAAGTGGCTCAGTGACATGACAAATATACTTCACAAGGTTAAGCCATGGAATGTTTGGGCTTTCTTTTATCAGAGGTTATCAGAGGTGAAATTATCTTTGAAAACGATCTAGATGAGGCCCATCTGCCTGTGTTTATACCAAATGGCCCTTTAACAAGGGGACTTCATCTTGATGGCCAGCTGAGTCAGTTAAACTAGAAACGGTTAATGCTAGAAGACTTTAAAGTTAAATCAGACGCAGCCAGAATTAGGGAAAGCAGAAAAGAGGCCTTATAAGATTTGTATATCCGGAGATTCCAAAATAAGGATACGAGTGGTTACTTTTTTTTGGTTTCCACACATAAAGAGATTTCTAGGGCTCAAATATGCAATGCGAATCAATTATGGTTTTCTGCTTTTTCCATTAAAAACTGATAATATCTTCCAGCTTATCAACCACAAGTACATATATAATAATGGTGGTAAAGATAACCCTCAAGAAATGAAAAAACACCCACATAAATTTTCATGATATTATAAATGACTTACGCGCGTTTCAAACGAAAGTTCTGCAATATTTTGATCAGTGTATATGCTCCAATTTATGCGCAGATGACCACGATAAGGATAAGTTCTATGCGGAACTTCAATTGTTAACGACATCTGAGAGGTAACATGGTCATACTCGGAAGAGACTGGAATGCGCGCGTTGTTCATGATGCCGTTTCGATGAACTCGGTATTGGCAAATATGGCATAGGGACCCAATGCGCCAATGGAGAACTCGTTCTTCGTTTTGCTCTTTGTTACATTCGGCATCGGAGGAAGCTCTAGTCACGTGGAATTCTCCAGACAACCAATATTTCAATCAGATTGACTACATATTAGTCAGTCACCGCTGGAAGAGTTCTATACTTGATAGTCGTTCTTATCGGGGCGCTGAAACTGGTAACCGCCATGGATCAGATCATGTCATAGTTCGAACCATAATTTGTATAAAACTGACAAGTCTTAAGAAACAATCTATCCCAAGATCTTTTAACTATCTCAAATTAAAAGATCGGGAGCAATAAGCGCATTTCAAACCATATTATTGAAACACCTCAGTGAAATGAATGTCAATGATATCTCTAGAACGGCGAATGAATACTGGTCCCAACTAAAGACATGTCAGCCACTTCCACATTAGGGTATAGTAGTAGGAAGTGTTGAGTGTCAAAAGCAATTATCCAGCTATCTGAAAAAGTTGCAAAGTCCGAATATAAGGAGATCCTGAATATCGGGTGCTTCGAAGAATCACAACAACAGCAGCACGGCGGGACAGAAATCACTATTGGAGCGATATGGCCTTGAGAATGGAGCTCGAGTCGGCGGCTCGGATAGGTGATAATAGTAAACTGTTTCGCCTCCTCCGCAAAGCAACTATAACTCGAGAAAGATTCAGTGAAATGGCACAGGATTTTAATGGGGTGCCTATTAAAGCTATCAAGGATCGCCTCAGAAGATGGAAAAAATTTTTGAGGCCAAACTTAACCACAATGCTCCATCTGTTATCTCGAATATAACTGATTCGCTCGTCGAGCTTTACGTTTGGAACTGTGAACCGCTAACAGAAGAGGAAATACTCTTTGTAATCCATAAGCTTAAAGCTAATAAAAAAGAAGATAGTTTTTGGACTCTCCAAATGTTGTCCATTCATAATTCACCTTCAACAAATGTATTCTTTGGACGGGAAAAAGAAATAATACCAGAAGACTGGAGCAAAGCAATTCTGCTTCCAATTCCTAAGAAAGATGACAGGACGTACTGCGACAGAATCCTTTGAAATAAGAATTGTTGTTCGTCAATGTTGTATTCTTCCCCTTATAATATTCAACTATGCGATAGACTGGACAATGGGCATCGCTTGTCGGCACTCAAGAGATGTGCAAATAGTCCAGAACATAGTATCATAGACCTAGAATACACTGATGATGTAGTCCTTTTTGGCTTTTGACGCCAATTATCACAGGGTTTAGCAAAAAACGAAATATGCGTCAACTCCTGTGGTGGACGACAGAAAACTTGCCCTAACCAGCAAAGCCGACGCTCTGTGATAATATTATCAATGCAGGTGGTATATGAGCGAAAGTGGATAAAATCATGTGCGATTTTATCTGCTCTGTGAATCCGTAAAATGTACCTTAGATATAAGTGGCCAAAGGCTAATAGCCTCTTAATATCTTCAACTCCCATGTTTCGCAGCCATATAGGAAGATCGAACGAATTGCAGCTATATGGACACGGATTCTCGTCTTTATGGTGATTTCGTGGTTCCATAAAGGTTTCATCAACCGGAAAAATATAATTCTAGCTCCCTTTTTTTTTGCGATTTCATCCTTTGCCTGGCCATTTGAAATTAGAATGGATCCAAGGTATTTAAAGTCCAGCACTTCCTCAACCGGCAATAAATTGATAAAAATAGGTATTTTATCAATATCTTGTACATAAGGTAAATGATTTTCGCTTTCTATACATTGACACTGAGTCCTATTCTTGCTGCAGTTTCTTACACATTGTTTAGCATAACTTGCATTTCTAATGTCAGGACCAGTCAAGACCTGGATTGATATAGTCAGGAAAGATTTTGGACGTATAAGAGGACCAGCGATATATGGACTTAGACGATGGAAAAAGGAATGTCTTCTATTATTACTAGCGATGGCATCGAACCGAGCAGCTTGTAGACATCTTACTCAACGGAGCCAGCCTAACCAGTAATGGTGAGAGATGTTAGAAGAAGAAGATTATAAATATTAAAACCTCCAACTGTGAAAATTTGCTGTCCTTCTTTCCAAGTTAGTTTATTTGCTATTATCCAATGAATATACAAAACTATTTGTATAAATCGTTATTGATGAAATTTTAAACCGATTGCTTTCATCGCATTATTCTCCACAACCCTAGCGAAAAAATTAGATGAAATTTAAAATTTTATTTATAAAATTGAAAGTTTTATTGTGTATGGTGATTGTTACTGTAATATTATATACTAACTTCGTCCGAGTTATCATTCCTTTTTAACACTGATCTGATCTGATTAGATGGTCTGATATATTAAGATTTCTTCTTCTAGAGATATTTCAAAATTTCAAACCACCATAGTATAAGAACCTTTTGCCAGAGCAAGTCTAATAGCACAAAAAAAGGTGCGATTTTTATTCTTTTGCATCTTTTTTGGAAGTTTTCCAAAAAAATAATAGGACAACTCCAAAAGACATTGAATTCTGTATTCAATTATTTGCTTTTGACAAATTTCAAAACCTTTCGTGAAATTTTTCATTTTTCATGCGAAATTCTTTTAAATAAATTATATTTTATATATTATATAAATTAAATTATAGTTTATTATACAAATTTTCTGGTTTTAAAAGACAATTTATGTCACAAAATTTCTTTCGTAGAAAAAAAATTTCTTGAAAAAATTCCTTCGTTTTTTTTGCTTAATATTGAATGCGATTTTGCATAAATATTTACATAGTACCAAAAATAAAATTTATTATCAGATTTGGTCAATAAAATAAATGAATTTAAAAAAAGAAAAAAGTAAATAAATTTTTTTAATTTGATTTGAAGATTTACAATAATAAATATGAGGCCATCAGCCAATTTAATTGCCAATTTTGTTTCCGCTTACTATTTAATTCATCATTGAATAAATACATTTCAATCATTCCCTATAATAATTCCATAAAATTTCAAGAGCCTTTGAAGAGAGCATTCATAAAATGCATAAAATGTCAACAATAACGAACATATATTTACTAAATCGAAGTTATTTAACGTTACAACGTTACATATTTAATATTGAATTTGTCTTCCACCAGAACTCTAATTTCTTCTTATTTTATTAGTCATTAGCAACATTTAACAAAGATCATTTCAACGCTTATCATTAAAATTAATCATTAAAATTTGTTCAAAATAATATTGTCGAAATAACTAACAATACTGTTTTAACCATTTTTTTTATAAAATTTAATTTAATTTTAATAGTTTTATTGAATTCAGATTATTTAATGTATAATTTAATATATACTAAATTATTTAAACCAATCAGGGGATAGAATGGCTCAGCGGGCTGCTGCTCAATTGGAAGGTTCGATTCCCCACAAGAGTAAACCTGTACAAAGATCCAGGTTATGCTGGCGACTCACCTGTATTTCTATTGCCAAGAGACTTCCTGGCATATTTCAATGCGACAAGCAAGTGGAGCGAGTTTAACCAGTAATGGTGAGGACTCTTAAAGAAGAAAAAAAAATTTAGACCAATTAATACGTTTATTGTTTTTAATCGCTCGCTTCTTCGCTTTTAATAAAAATTGCGAATGAATTTGAATAGCTTCGATTTCAAAATTCTTCTTTCAAGTCTTCTTTTCATCCAAAAAATAATCCAATGAGAACTGCAGGATTCTAATTGGCAAAAAAGCACTTTCTAGATGTTTCTCAAAAAATTGAACCTTTGCTGAAAATCATTTATTCGTACTTTTTTAAGGAATCTAGGTAAAGTTCAGGTGGCTTTATCTTATTTGCTAGAATCTTGTGCAGCTGGATGACATCCCGTAAATATCCCGTAAATGGATAAGAAACAGATGAAAGATGATGCATTCTTCAATTTTGACAGTTTGCGAATCTCGCTTTTGCGCAATTTTGCGTTTATAGAGAATAACTTGGAGTTATAAGTTATTTAAAAATTTAAGTATCCTATTATTTCTATTTATTGCAAAAATATGAAAAAATCCATAAATTTTACTTAGTATGCGAAAAAACCAAATGGAAATGTCATTTACAACAATACACACATTATTTTTGCCAAGACCACAAATACAATATAAATGTTGCAAAAAATATTTACTAGAAGTTTCTTATAGTGAGACTCAATATGAGTAGGCTTTAGGCTTAATAATTATTGATGGGTTAAGTATTTTCTTGCCGAAAGTTGTGAAAACTTCACGTTCTACATGCTCGTTATTTGATTTGTGGTTTATTTTTACAGTAGCCGATTGCGTTTCAAAAATTTAGCTAAATTTTAGTTAATGAAATTGGCAGCCGTAAATTTATCTCACTTAGTGATTGCAACAGTTCATTGTTTAATTGCTATCTCACAAAACTGTGATCTTGGACCATCAGATGTGTTGTTTGTTTTACAAGCTGGCCATGATATTAATAATAATGATTTCGACGATTCAAGGAAGGCTATTGGACAAATTGTTGAGGATTTTGATATTGGGCCTAGCAAAAAGGTCAACACACCACAGTCTCTACAGACATGATCAACTATTTTAAATCTTTTATTTTCGCTCAATTTCCAACGGTTGCAAAAAAAAAATCTGGAATGGACAAGTTTTTGTTTCGCAATAAGTTGTTTTGTGTCAAAAATAGTCAAAAATTCTTCATAGAATGAAGCGAACTCTTCATTGACCATTGGAATTATAGCATATTATGAGATTTATTCAAATAAAAAAATTGATAATTCATTGAAATTTTCCGAGATTTAAAAATATTTCAGCAAATTCGTTTAGCTGTGTTATTATTCGATTCGATGAATAACACGGATTACCGCATCAAATTTAATAAATTCCGTATGAAAAATGATATTCAACAAGCGATTAAAAGTCTTAGCAAAATACCATGTGGCTATTGGTGGTGTAAGATCAATTCATACTGGAATTATGAACAGGTAATGTATGGAAATTTTAAATTTTTATCGTTCTGTCGCATCAAAATACGCTAGAAAATATTCCATTTGATATCTATCGCTGGCTATTTAGGCTATTTAGATTTGATTATAAACACTCTTATTCAATCAGAGGGCAAACAGTACAGATAGTGTAATCTCAAAAAAACCGGTCTCTTTCGTTTCAAACAATCCTTTATTCGAAAAATTGTGATTAATAGTGGATATCAATTATTCGATGAAAACTAGAGCAAAATCATATAAATTTATTATCGCGATTGATAGATTTAAAAAAGTTTTTTGATTTTTACAAGTGTTGCTTCCAGATGTGCAGAAGATTTTTTTATATCCTAAAGCAATTCCCTAGCGAAAACTTCTAATCATACTAATTATTAGTGCAACTAGCATATCAACCACTTTTATTCATGTTGGTTATTGGCTAAGAAAAGAGTAAGATTAAATCGAAATGATAAATTTGATGTGGAAACTTTTTCGCCTTCTATATTTGAATACATTTTTTATATTTTTTGTATTATATATTATATATCTATATTTTTTCATTATATTAACAGATATTTCATAAATCGTTCGAAATTTTTAATGAAGCAAAGGAAGAGGAGGAAAATCGAATGAAAAAATTAATTATAATTCGAAAAGGAATCAGTGAATCCGATTTAATAGCAAACAATAATTATCATTTAACAAATGATCTCAATTTCAGGATTGCTGAAATTATTATTTTTCCTGGTGAGTTTTACGTTGATTATTTATTTGTATTGTTAAAAGTAATATTAAAATCGCAAAATCGGTCGACACGAACAAATTATGAATTAAAATAATTGAACCATTATAATCATAATTTTTTAAAAATATTTTTATATACCTGAAATATTCCCTATTCGTTCATTTCAAAAAAAGGAATTTTCTTTTTTTTATTTATTAAAATTCCTTAGCTCTCTGAATTCTTTATTAACTAACTTTTTTATCCATTTCGACGATTTTTTAAAATTAATTTTAAAAAGTGAAAAACTATTTTTTGGGCAATATTGACGAATTTTATAATTACATGCAAAAAGTATGGAGTATGCGAAATGCGCAAATCTTGCAAAATGTTTATTTAAGAACGACTTGAATGGAATTGAGACAATATAAATGGCTGAATGGCTGCCTCTTCATTGCCTAATATTCATTGAAGACAAATTCATTTATAAAAAAACCTCAAAGGAAATTTTATAAAAATTTTTTCGAAATCTGGAATCCTTTAGTGAAATTTATAAAATAAAAAAAAAGGTTCGATATTGGTGCAAAATTTTTTTATTATTGAATGACTAAAAAAAATTCGAATCTTGCCACCACTTAGCCTTTTTTACAAAAAGATATCCAGGATCATACGTTATATTATTCATCCAGGAAGAATTATCTCTTATGTCTCTTCGAGAACGTGGACGTTTTATTTTATCTCTCATGAAATTACATAGCTCTCCTTGATCCTTATGTGATAAGCTGTAGAATAGTGCATTCATGCATAATAATTCTGCTTGTGGCGTTAAAAAATTTTGTTTTTCGAGAAAATCAATTCTATAGAAAGTTTCCTTAATCGTTTGGCTCAATGCTGATTTTTTAACATTCTCGAGAAGTTCTGCTGTTTTCTTTAGAAAATCATTGTTGTATGTTTCATATAACTGCTGAAATTGTATGAAAATTTATTTATTTTTAAAAAGCTCACTTTTCTGGAATAATCAAAAATTTTTTCGACAATTGAAAAAATGTCACTAGAAATTTCCATTTAGACTAGGCAAGGGTCAAGTTTCATGGAGTGGACCTTTATCCTTCCACTATCATTGAAACTGAAGCGCAGGCTGCAAATGAAGTCCCAATATCTTCATCAGCAAGTGTCTCCATAACTGTCTAGGTAATAGTAGATAAACACTGCTCATAAATTTAAGCCATATTCATATTTTTATTTGCAATACAATTTCTTATTGAAATCATTAAAACATACCGCTACCAAATATCCTTGTCTAATTGCCCAATCCGCAATTTTTTGGTCGATCTGCTTTTTAGTTAAACTTCTATCTTCGAATATTTCAGCGAACAAAACTTTGCCTTCATTAGTTGCAAATTGCAAAAAAACTGGAAGATCGTATGCGGGACCTTCAAAAATTGTGCAGAATATATTATTTAATTTTCATTACAATATTTTTGGTGAAAAAAAACACATTTATAACTATTTATAACTATCTTTAATAATTAATAATTAGTAAAAATAAAATAAGAATAAACTATGAATTATGAATATTTTAATTGAATTAAGTACCAACAAATAGCACAGTGCACAGATTATTGCTCTCATTTCATCGCCAATGATGTGATTTTACTCGCTGTAGGAGTAAGTCTCCTTTCAAAAATCGAGATGGTACTGATGACCCACCTGTATTTCTATTGCCAAGTGATTCCTTGGATGACTTGTCTGATCTGACTAGGCTAGCTGATTAATTATGAAAATTATTATAATACTCATCTATAACATTAATTTTAAATAGTGATAGTATTAATTAGTACTGAATAATAATTTTCAACCTTTTTCAAAATATTTTTTTAAAAAAGTTTCTATAGACATGAAATCATTTATGAAATTTGTTTTTTAATATTTTAAATTATTTTTATTATATTCACATTTATAATTACTGATATTTTTATCAAAATTTTCTTAAAATTTGTTGTTAAAATTTACAATTTAAGATTCCACTATTACTGTATGAAGTAACTGAAATAATTAGGCAATAACAAATGAGTAAAATATTCGAAATCATTTTGGATTAACAAATATCAAAATTAACAAAAAATTTTTTAACAAGTGCTTTATATAGAATATTTCATATTTTATATTAATGATTTTCATCCAGTTTTCCCGAAAAATTCATAATTTTCTCTATTCACAAATGGATTTAATGATTTTATTTATAACATTCATACACAATGGTTTTGAAAAAATTTATATTCGTATGAAATATGAAAGTTATTGAAATTAATATTTCATATTTTTCTGTTAATATAGAGTTATTATATTTACATTATTTGATCAATAAATTTTTCTTCAATTCCTATTAACCAAATATATTTTAAAGGATAAAATATTAAGAAAATTATATGATATAATTAATTCAAATAACAATATTATTAAATATGGAATATTAAAAATGAGTTTAAATATGAAATATTAAAAAGTAAGAATTCAAGCTAAAATATTAAAATACAAAATTATGAAAATTTTAAATTAGGGCAGTTAGGTTATCTGTATTTGTTAATTTATTATTAATATAGGTATGGCTATTGCTGTGGGTGATTGTTTTTTTGAATAAATAATTAAATAAAGATTTTTTTTTTTAAAGAAATAATCTGCTGGAATTAACGAACTCATATCTAAATATTTTCTTTTAATGAAAGGTTGCAATAGATTTGTTCTTCATTTAGTGTTTCTCACTTGGCTGATTCTATTGGTTGGCTATTATAGTTGAGTACTTAGAACGCTGTTGATATCTCACTTGTACTGGTGAACTTAATGTCGACGAGATATAAGAATACTTTATGCTTGTCGTCAGTTAAAGCGTGCTCAGCCATTGAGCTTAAATGAATTTCGGTCCAAAGTACCCGTCCCGACAGTTGAAAGAATTTCCATGAAATTTCCATGGTCTTTGAGATTAATTTTGACTAAAACTAAATTGAAATTTTGTCTATTTTGTAAAATATCTTAAAAAAGAGATTTTCAATAAACGAATTTTCATTTAACGAAAAAAAAGTTAAAATTATATCGTCACAAAAAATAATTAGCACAAAAACTTGTAAGACCAGTTTTTTGCTCCATCATTGCACTATTTTTCGACAAAAATATCGAGATGATCATTAATACTAATAGCGTTGGCTTATTGTGAAGCTTTATTCGCTATTACGACGCAAAACGCGGATAAAAAAAGTTCATTAATCTTCTTTATACCATTCCCATCAACAAAAAATTAGCGAAAAAATTGGTGAAGATTTCCTATTTTTCATGCCTTTTAGCAATATTTGACTAAATTTAAGCGTAGTTTCTTGGCTTAAATTCGACTTGAAGAACTCGGCAGAATGAAGGGTAGAATGAATTAGGTGTTAATTTCCTGTTATATTCAGTTTAATTCATACAAAATCCTTAAATTTTGATTGTTTGTTAATGTTTAGATTTTATTGTGCGTCACTCGCAAATTTGAATTTGAGCTCTGAAAAGAAAAAAAAATTTAAAATTATCTTTTATCATTCTTAAACGGAATTTTCCAAAAATTTCGAAGATGGTTCTTCTTTTCGATATATTTTCATCAATATTCGTTCTAATATTTCTAACGACTGGATTTGCCGATGAATTCAGTGAAACTGATTCCGATCCAAGTTTTTTGAAGAATATTTCCTATGATTCTATCATGGAATATTATAAAATAATGGACGACTCTTTCAATCTTACAAGAAACCAACTAGCCGCAAAACTTCAAGTGTGGGCTACGAAGTTAGCACCTGAAGTTAAGGTAATTCTAAAAAATAAACAGAATTTTATTAATTAATTTAATATTAATTAAATTAATTTAATAAATTTAAATTAATTTATTTAAATTAATTTAATTAATTTAATATTAATTCAATTAACAGAATTTTATTTTCTTACGAATTGAAGATTTCGATTGCTTAAAGATAAACAAGACTGAATAAATTTAGAATGAAAAACCCAATAAAATGCCAGTGTTTATGAACTGTAGCTCTATAACTACTTATAACTATTTTTTTTTGCCAATAGGAAATATCAACAGTATTAGCTTCTATTAGCTATAAGAATGAGGCCTTTCCAAGGCTCACGCGTTAAAACACACACTAAACTTAAAATTGAGTTTTAGACATTCCCTTTTCCATTATCACAAATAACCTTTCTTGTGGTTTTGGTATTTTGAGATGGTACGACTATTTTATCTCTATCCGGTTTTATTTCTCTATAAATTCTAGGCAGAATTCGAAAAAGCCGTCGCTGAAGAGAACGCATTTTTAGAGAAAAGATATATAGTCTTAAGAGAGAGAATCGAAAAGTCCAATGCAAGTAAAGCAGCTAAAGAAGAATTATTTGATATACTTGGCTTACAAATGGATCGAAATAGAACAATGGAGGATATTGAACAAGCTATAATCGATAGGGGCAATATGGATCTGCCAGAAGTAGCAGCTGAAGCATCGAAACTTTGGAACGAAATTCGTCCTCATGAAATCGATTACCATTCTGAATATGAGGCAAATGATGATTGTGAAAAATGATTTTACTTAAACTGAGGATTTTTTCCTAAGAATCACTAAGATCAGCTGTTTTTTTCTTCGATAAAATTCTTTTTCATAACAATTGTTTATCACTATCAGTATTTTAGCGAAAAAATCAACAAATTCTTCAGAAATTAATAGTTAAAATAAAATTTATTTATTTAATAATTTACTTATTTATTTATTTAATAATTTAAAATGTAATTATTTAATTAGCCGCATAGAAAAATTTTACGTCCTTCGCTCGCAAAATTTTTAACTATTTAAATCTGGTATGCAATGGTTAAGTAGGTTATTGTTTTATTTCGCAATGCCAGTTTTGTGGTTCTACTCCAGGCTAAGCAAACCTATCTTCCAAAAATCCGAACGTTAATAGTAACTTACCTAGATTTCTTTCGCAGAATGGCTTCCTGACAAAAAATTTTTCTGGTCTAGAAGCGAGATGGTTAAGCATAACCAATAATGACTCAGAAAAATGAACCATTTAATAAATAAAGTTTTTAAATTCGCCAAATTTACAGTTTCTTATATCATATTAAGGGAATATCTAGCATAGAGTTCGAAAATTGCAAGCTTTTTCATACGTAAGTTATCCGCTTGAAATGATGTAATATATTATGCTTGTTGGCTTATCAACTCACTTTTCGGCATTTTTATCATCAGTGAAAGTAAAATACGTTGAAGAGCCATGAATGCTAAAAAAGGTACACATAGATTCGGCATTTGAATCTGAAGATAAATTGCAACTTATATATAGAATTAAAAACAAGAATTTATTAAAATTATAATTTGATATATGATGATCGATTTTGAAAAATAACATAGATTTTGCGCAGTTTCAGATCTAAGCACTATAAATCAGTCATATCAACGATACTTACAAAGTTATTATCAGAACTTGGATAGAATTCATCAAATTCACCCGAATTTATCAATAACGAGGCCTCAAGCAACTTACAATAGAAGTTTGCAATTGCCATTTGTTAAAAGAATTGAAAATCACCGCATTATATTACAAAGGTGTTAAAACGTTCTTTATATTCAAAAAATGAAAACTGGCAAATTCTTTCAATTTACGGCAATAATTGTAAGAAGATTTTCAACAAAATGTTAGAGTTCTTCACTGATTTATGAAGTCATGCAGATAACGAGCAAATTCTTATATAATCATATAGAGAATTTATAACCGTAAATTATATTCGCTAAAGGTTTTTTTAAGATTACTGAGTTAATTTTTGATAATGGCGAATATATTTTTAACAAATATAATTTTTATTTTATGTAATGATACGTAAATTTTCCATTTATTTCTTCGCCAAATTTCATTTATTTTGTTTGTTATTTAGCTCTTTTTCCTTATTCATTCAAATCTTATAAATTGGCCAAAATATAAATATAATTTTATTTCGATTAATTTTCGCATTTACTAACGATTTCATGGAATTAGTTACGAATATCTTTGCACGATTCCTCGTGATGTTTGTAATATAATTTTTTCTTGCCCACCATGTACAACAATTAAAGAGTCTTCAACCAAAAATATATTAGCAATTATGTCACCGTTAAGAAAGCATTTATGTAAGTTTATATTGCATTTTATGAGTTGTCTCTTGAAAAAAATTCAATTTTATATGAAAAACTAGAAATTTGCAAAATCATATGTCATGATTCTTAGAAGGCTTCAGAAATTTTTCTGGTCTTTAATATATTTTTATTTAATAATAAAAAGAAATAATTACAGTACAAAAGAAGCAAAAATCTGATGAAAATTTCTTATTAGATTTCAGAATTCAAGAAAATCTTGAAAAGGTTGGTTTTTGGCATCTTAGAATAATATTCAATTAATGAAATCTTTATGAGTTAAACCAGGAAATATGACAGATGCGACATAAAAAAATTATGGATCCATTCTTTCAAAATCTCCGAATAAATTAAATAAAAGAAAACTTTAAAAAATCTTTTAATCCTTTTCATTAATAATTAGCGGAATGAGTCTAAAAAATTGGTAAATTGCTTACTTATTCAGCAACGTTTAGATTGGAGAATGGATGAATAATAAACGAACTAATAGGACAGCAATGAAGCGAACAATCAGTTTAAATTATCATTCGCCATTTTACCTGAAATATCTTGAAAAAAGACAAAATTTATCTGATAAATTATTTGAAAGTGAGATAATCCGCAGATTCAAAAGGCAATCTTATCTCCATTATCCAATATTAAAACAAGATCAATGTTTATGTGAAAATGAACAAGCAATTAACAAAATCAAACTTAAAAGACTGATCGTCATGAAGAACAATGGTTCGAACAACAGTCTTCACTGTACAAAAAATGGCTGTAACAGGGAACCGACGATTCAAAACTTCATTACGCCTTTGAATTCCGGAAATATTAAAGAAATTTCGATAGAAAATGAAAGTGCCCATCAAACTGGCATCGACTTAGCATTATTGTCGATTATCACTGATCAGTGGGATAACAAAATTTTGATGTATCCAATCCCATTTAAACCATTTGCTGACGAGTATCAGGAGATTTTTTCAAAATGGTTTCAGTTATCCAATCGATCAAATAAAATTCCAATAAAGGAACAATTTAATGATGATGAACAAACTAAAATAAATGATTTAATGCTACTTGTGAAAAAGCCAAAATGCACTGAAAATAAAATATTTTGTACGAAAGATTCAGCGTCAATGAGTTTTCCAAAAACCTATTATCCCAGAAATTATGCAAAAAATTTCGTTGATGATCTTCTATCAATGAATTTATCAGAACATGCTTTATCCAAATCAAGTAAATAAATTTGTCGAAAATAATCACTATAATTTGAAATAAGTGGTGAAATAAGTATTGGTCTATGTGGCATTAATTTGCCATGATTTGATCTAAGGCTCATTCTAAAGAAATAATTTAGTCTGGTCTAGTTTATTAATCATGAATTAGTTGATAAATATTTCGTTACTTGTTAAATCCTGTGGTGGATGGCATCAAAAGCAAGGAAGGCCAGTCAAGAAGTAGAATGATATATTCAGGAAAGATTTTGAACGTATAGGAGATCAGCGATACAAGCAAGAACTTAGACAATGGAAAAAAGAATAACTTCTGTGACTACTAGCGATGGCGTCGGACCGAACAATTTGGAGACGACTTACCCTTTTCGAAACAGAACTGCATAAACAACCAAACCGCATCTAAAAATCTGATAAATGATTAGTGCATTAATTATGAATATATTGTAGATAAACAACAAAAAGAAAACAGTGAAGAAAATTCTGCAATAATAAATATGGAAATTGAGGATTTCGACCGGTCAAATATTTTATGCTCAATTAATTTTTATTATTTTGTATAAATTTTTGAAAATTATTGCCTAAATTGAAACAAGAAGATTAATTTTACCATAATCCCTTACAATTTTCTAATCAAATTTGGTCGGAATTATATTTTTCAGAGATTTTCAATTGTCCGGTGATCTATTAAAGGATTCAGCTAAATTATTAGCACCATATATGGCAAAAAAATGTTTTCTTTGTAATCTGGATATAGTTGTATTTGTTGATGACAATAGTGATATGCCATATTCAAGTTTTTATAATTTACGTAATTTTCTCAATCAACTACGAAATTCAATAAAAAGGGATAAAAGAAATTGTAAAAATGTATGGAATATGATTTTTTAAGAATTTTTATGCTAGATTCTGTTAGATATTGAGTGGAGGACATTAAGAAGTTATCGGTCTTTGACCACTCATGTCTAAGTTACGAACGAGTCAACCGAGCAGATAAGATTTTACATGATTGCATTCACCTACGTCTGCATTAGCAATACCATCAAAAGAGTTGCCTTGGCTGGTTAGGGCACGTTCTTCGTCGCACAATATAGGAGTTGATAAATATTTCGTTACTTGTTAAATCCTGTGAGTGGCATCAAAAGCAAGGAGGGCCAGTCAATACGTAGAATGTATATACTCAGGAAAGATTTTTAACATATAAGGGATCAGCGATACAAGGACTTAGACGATGGAAAAGAAATATTTGTTACTATTAGCGATGGCATCGGACCGAGCAATTTGGAGACGTCTTACCCTTGTAGCCAGCGGCGCCAGCCTAACCAGTGGTGGTGAGAGCTGTTTGAAGAAGATTGTAAACATTACATTCAGTAATTATTATAACGAAAATCACTTGATAACCAATTTCTATTTTATTTCATGTGTCGCTTGAAACGGTACAATAAATTGAGTTTTAGCAACCACGTTTGGGAATTTTGAAGCTTCGTTCAGATGGTAGAGTTTTTATTTTTCAACATTTGGACGATCCAATAGATAATGCATTGAAATTAGTTGATTTGAGATATTCTGGATGCAGCATCTATGCAAACATGGATTGTTTCAAAGCAATCGCCAATGTATATCATTTTTTCTTCATTTTCATTATAAATTAATTTTAGACTGGTACTAAATTTTTTTCGAAAGAATAAAATTGCACTGCACTTTCCGAACTCTCCACTGCTATCTTAAAGCTCCTTCTAAATCCCACTCCGTCTCGAATGATATAACTTTTTCTGCATTGTTTGGAAAAGTTAAAATGAGGCCATAAATTTGGCAATTTCTATTGTTACTTCATACTTTCTTTTGGTTCATCTTTTCTTACCCTAGAATAAGCTGAAAAACCCTTAAAACTTATGCATATTTGGGTTTCTATATAAGAATTTCTGTTGATTGGTTGAGGGTAGAAAAACTTGGTGAATCGTAGCTCCCATTCCGGAGCGCCGATGCTTGGGTTCTACTCAACGCAAGAGTAAATAAACAGTAAATTTTGGTGATATTGGCCATACACTTCTCCTTCCGCCGCAAACTGACGATCTAGTCCAACAATTTAGTTGCTTGTGATCAATCCGTCCACAGCCTTTTAGTCTTTTATCTCTTTCCTATTCGCCCTATTTGTGATAGTTTACTTTTTTATTGGCTTACCATATATAATTGTTTTTTTTTTTTTTCAGAGCATTATTTTGGCAATAAATTCTCAATTTGACGAAACTTCGAATAGAAAACGAATTTTCTTAATCGCAACGAATCGTAATAAATTCATTTTGAATACTTCATACGACGATATGAAAGAAGCACTCGATTACGCAAAAAATAATCAAATTGAAATTTCTATAATTGTTGGTGAAAAATTTGGTAACTATCTTCTAATTATTTTGAAGTGATAAATTTTTTAAATGGTAAGTTAATGAATTGATGAAAAATATTAGGAGTGCTAGCATTCGATGCTATGGAGTCGGTGAGATAATTGCCACCGAGAATCGAGGCTTGAGTTCGAATCCGCCGACGCACCAATTTTCGTCGGGTTGCAGTGTCGCCTAACACAGAAAAACAAAGATGAATAGAATGGCTCAGTGGGTTGTTGCTCAATTCGGAGTGCAATACTGAGGTTCTATTCACGGCAGGAATAAACCTGTCCAAACAATCCAGGTGATGTTGGCGGCTCAACTGTACTTCTATCGTTAAGGGTCTGTTTGACATGTTTATCTAGTGTGATAAGCTAGAGGAGTGAATCTAACGATAGGTAACGAGTGACGGTAAGTACTTGTCAAAAAAAATTTGGTGCTATTGATTCTATTTCTTCATTATGATTTATTGCAGTTGGTTTGTTCCTACAGCATCAATATGACGATCAATATGAGCTAGGGTGCTAAATTTAGAGTCTTAAATAACTCTGATTATCTAGTTTATTATCAGTAGGCTTCATATTAAAGCGTAACCAAAATTTCTATCCATCAGGATCGGAAATATGAATTACATTGAACAATTTCAGATAATACTTTAAAATCTATCGCAACTACTAACATTAAATACTTTTTTACTGGAAGCAATACATCTTTGATCATTGAAAAAATATGTGCAATGAATAAGAAGAGTTTTCTATATTAACTTTAGAAAATGATTGTTCTATTGATCTTTGTTAAAATTTATGCAAGAAATTCAATATTGGCCTGTTGACCTTTGTCAAAGTTTTAATTCATCTTCCATCTATTTTTATTTCTTACTATTTCTACTATTTATTATTTCTTTAAATAAATTACTAAATTTTATTTTGATTTTATTTTAAATTTTTTCAATTCAATATTTTCATTTCAATTTTTTTCGATATATTTTAAATATTCAAATAAATATAAAATAAAATTAAATGCTACTTTCGAGTTTTCAAATAATGTCAGTGATCTTCTAATTCACTTTTAAAAGATGGATGTACAGTTCTTTCAGAAATAATATGATTTTCGAGCAAAAGTTTTCGAGTTTTAACGGTTCATATTACTTTAAAAATTAATGAAAAAGGTTTAAAAATGTTCTATGAAAACGTTCTTAAATCAATATAAAGGTCTATTATTTATTTCTGGATCGAACCATTGTTTCTAGTTTGGCTGGCTTTACTTATTATTAGAATGAGGAAATGAGGAACCATTTGAGGATGCTACTATTGGTGAGACCTCAATGCCGTAACATTTCACGCCCAATGGTAGTTTTTCCCCCCTACTTTTTTATTTATTCTCATTAAGTGGTATGGACTGGCTCTAAGTGGTAACGGCTAGGTTCTCGCTAAAATAACTTCATATATTAGCAAATAAAATTTAGCTGATGGAGTTTTTCTTGCCATTAATTATATGGCCAATATTTTGTGCTATTGAATGTATGTGACAATTATATTTAAAATTATATCATAATTATAATTTTAAATTATAATTTATAATTATAATTAAATTATTAAATTATAATTAAATTAAATTATAAATTTAATTTTATCTTTTTTTAATATTTTTTAATATTTTTCTAAGGACGCTCTCCTTACTTCTGGCCAGGCTCGATTCGCTGACTTTTCAGACTAGATAAATTCTGCTAGGTATTAAGGTATACAGCTGAGTCGCCAGCATCACTCGTCCAGAATTTTGGATAATAGATTTACTCTTAAGAGGTTCTCATCACCGACGCTTTGAAATGAAAGAGAAACTCACTGAGGCATTCTATTTCGTTCCCCTCTCAATTAATTTATTAAATGATAATAAAATATATTATTTTTATGTGACTATTGTCCACTTATTTCTATATAATAATATTTTATACATTAGCATTTAACATTTTAATAAATTTAAAAAACTCAAGTTGTGGAAGTAATGGAACTGTTATGCGTAAATGTATAATTCCCATTTTATCTTGCAGTATTATTTTTATTTAGTCCAATAGATAACTTCATTTTCGTTCATTTAATTTTAATAACTTATTTTTTACTGATGTGTTATCAATTATTCGATAATTTATTTTTAAATTTATTTTTAAATTAAATTAATTTATTTTGAAGTTTCTTTAAAATAATTAAATTGCATTGGAAATTGAATTTATCATTGAATTTATCATTTTTTTTAATATTAATTTTATGGTTTGTCAAACATAATTTATTTAAAAAAAAAGAAATTATTATATATTATAGAAACTAATTTTTTTCGTGCGAAAAAATCGTAAAAAGATTTTATTATATTAAATTCACTAATTTTTTCAATATAAACAGAGAACAATCCTAACAACAAAAGCTTTAAAATAACTTTAAATAACTTTTAATTTTAAAACGCCTTTGTTGGATGAAAAAACAAATCGCTATAAATGCTACAATTACCATAAAGTTAATCACGGCCAAGGTAATTGATAATATTTTGAATAATATTAGAAATTTTTAATTGAGCGATAACGCCGAAAGATAATAAAATGGCCTTTAGAAATTCAAATCGAGAAGGCATTTAATCAGTTATTCATTAATATCACTTATCCATATTGGAGAACGAATTTTTTCTTGCATTCATTAACCAGAATCACCAAAGTTACTTAAGCCTTAAGAAATAAGCAAAAAAGATAAATAGCAAATTTTGATTTCCATCTCAAATGCAAGGATTTCCATGCGAAAAAACAAAACTTTACTTAAATTGATGAATTTATCATTTTTATATTTTTTGGAAAGAAATCTGAAAGAAAAATATTCATTCCCACTGATCGCCACTGAAGAAAAAAATTACTATTTTCTTGTTTGTTAATTTTTGTCAAATTTAATAATCGAAAAAAAAATTTTTTTTGCCATCTTTTGTTATGGTAAATTAATGCAAAGAGTCTAATAGAAATCATACAATTGAAACAATAAAACGAAATTCCAGAAAGATATTGTTATATCGGCAAGCATTTTACATTCACCAGATAGTTGTTAAAAGCAATTTGCAGATACTCTCAAGTGACTCTCTCGGTCAATCGAACCAATTAAATCGGAACAGTGTCGAGGATGGTGAAATTAAGAAAAGTTTCTTTTCTTGTCGTTATTAATGCAAAGTGAAATCAATCTAATAAAAATCGATAAGGTGGAAAACAAACTGATAAAAAACTGTGGAGAAGGCCTCAGAAGTAGTTAAAAGTAGCACGCTATGCCTCAGAAGTGGAAAAAAAACAGTAAATCAGGCTTCAAAAGACCAAGTTGACGGTAGACCATTTGAAGAATTCCATCAGCCACAATTTATTTAAATGAAAAGGCCAAAAAGAAGATTTAAAAATATAAATATAAATATTTTGATACTTTTCATATTTTGCCAAAAAAAGCGGAAAATAATGAACAAAGCAATAAATTATTTTGAAGACCTTATCAATTATTATCATTATTATCAATTATTTTGAAGGCGATCCTTTCTATTAGTAAAAATATTTTTCTATGCGAATAACTTGCCACAATAGTCCGTGGATTTTCACAATTGCCATGCCTCTCACCTTTCTCTGAAATTGCCAAATGAATGAATTCTTCGATGATTTGAGGATCTTCGATGATTTGAGACAACATTTAAAGAGTTCAGCCTCGTGATCTTTTGCGAAATTTTCCATTAGCCTTAGTAATCAGTAATCTTTTAAGAATTGAAAAACCTTTTTGTAGAATCACTTAAAGATTAATCAACAGATGGTTCATCTGGATTACATTAATCATTTGGATTAAAGCTTTTACATAAATATATATATATATATATATATAGATATGCTGAACTAAATCTTATAAAACGAATAATTTTTTAAGCAAAATCTATATATTAATAATTTATCTATAAATATCTACAAAATCTTTTAGATAACTAATAATTTATTAGATGAAATTAAAATGAAATAATGTTAATTATTATCAGTTGTTTATCATAATGCTCATTGATAATTTGTGATAATTCATTTGAAATGATCAATGTAAATTACATTTAGTTAATTATTTTTTCAGACAGCACACCATCCAATTTTTTTTCAACTTATTTAAGAGATACTTTGAAATAATTGAATTCGCATTGATCTTGTTTAAAGAATTGAGAAAAAAATTCTTTAAGTTATTACTGAATAAAATTTTCTTCAATAAACATACTTTTTAGTTTTATTCTTTTATTTTCAAAAAGCTTTCACCATTTCTGGTTCGCTTCACTGACTTGTCGGGCCATATAAATTTTGTCAATGTGCCGTACAGCAATAGAAGTACAAGTGACTCGCTAGTATAACTGTGAATTTTGCTAAGCATTTATTCATTTATTCTTGTCGGGAGTATAACTTCAGCTCCAAAGCTCTGTGCACAACAGTCCATTGAGCTATACTACTTTAATCATTCATAATGATTAAATATTTGGTAAAAATTACATAAAACTATAAATAGCATATAGATAAATATATTGTATGGCATAAATATTTTCTTTTTATTATAAAATATTACATACTTAAAATATATCTTTTTGGATAAATTTTATGAAAATATTTCTTTCCAATTTAATATTTATAAGATATCATAAGTCAATGAAAATGAATTATTTAAAAGTCGCAATTCTTCAAATATGAAATTTATTTAATATTTCATAATTCCAGATGGTGCTGGAGATTCGCTTGTATCAACCAAGGGACTCCCTGGGATATTTGTCCAATGTGACAAGCCAAGCAGAGCGAGTTCAACCAGTGATGGTGAGGACTCTCAAAAAAAAAATTTCGTAATTATTATACATTCCAATATTGGACAAAACAAGCGACAAAAGACAATTTTTCTTGCCTTTGAATAATTCTTTTTGAACAATAAATCAAACCGAACTATAATTTTTAAATTGGGATAGAATGGCCCAGTGGGTTCTTGCTCAATTGGGAAAACGTCGGTGCTGAGGTTCGATTCCCT